AGAAAAATTTATAAAAGAAAAAAATCATCTATGTGGTCCTACTGGGTAACATGCAGTTTTTCACATGTGTTCCTTTGGGTAACATGGTCATTTGAGTTTTTCACAAAACGTTGTAATAAAGGCCGATGAATGCCTAGGTTCTATTGGAAACCTCTCTGTCATCACAGGGTAGGATAATATTTGCGTGCACACTATCCTCCCCAGATTATACCGGGTATGTTCTTGTTGTTGTTGATGTAAGGCCGATAAATACAATAATAATACTCCTAGATAACAAGTTCAATAAACTAAAACTTGTTGTCTTCCCTAGAATTGGGTCAAACGAGTTTAAAGTGAAAAAAGCTCACCAGAGAAGGGAAGCTCGCCGGCATGGATTAATTGAGGGATGCAATAATAAGCCCAAAAAGAGGAAGCGCTTGAAGTACGAAAATGAAAGGTAGGAATCCCACACTCTTCAGCCACTTCAAGTGCTATAATTAAAATACCATCAGATATAAGACAAGTCACTGGGGGTACCTGCCCTATAATTTTATCAGTAGTGCCTAATTCGCAATTATCCAAAAGAAACAATTCTTTGAGAAGTGGTTTGGCAGTGGTCCTCAAGGACTTCAAAACGGCCATAATATCATCAGAAGAATGTGGAAGTCCATCGCCGAGGCCTAAGTTAATGGTTTTGAATCTGAAGCCTGGGAAACGGCCAAAACGGGACTGAAGGTCAGTACAACGTAAAAGTCGATTATGAATAGAAAGAGCATTGATGAAGGTAACATGGATATTGCTGGACAAGCTAAGAAGCTCGGCCAGATTGAGCATTGGATGGACATGGCCCAGTGCTGGAAATGGGAAGATGACCACATGAGGTGGTTGTCTTGCTCCTTGCTCCATCGTAATTTCTCCAATTCTACTATCACTTTTCAGCTCCTATTATACTTGGAAACTATTTGTGGTGAAACTTTGGTTGCAAATGCTTCTATGAGGCGGGCATTCATGTTTATCTAATACTCCTACAAGACAAGTCCAAATTTGCTCAGCTAAGCAGGGGCGTAATAGAAGATGCTTTTTATGTGCTACGATACAAATACAATGGACCAATAGAACAAATACGTACCTTTTCTATTATTTATGTATACAAACTTTTAAATGGCCTGAAAACTAAACTGGAAAAGATTACGGTCAACCAAACATGATTTTTTTTTTGTTTGCACGGAGGCTCTAAAAACAACTAATTGACTGGTTTCCCCAATTTAATTTGTCTTATGCTTAGCGGGTAGATCGATTTCAAGGTTCACTATAAATATTATTGGCATATTATTTCAGTTAGGATTTATACACTCATTTTTATAGCATATTATTTATGACTTTTATCATATTTCTAATTAAAATTTATCGGAAATTTACTTGTAACTATGTACTTTCGATAATGTTTAGCTCTAGGCCTCCAATTCCATTGAGCCGCCTCTATTATTTTCTCTTTCTCTATGTTTTATGAGCTGTTTATTTTTTCCTCAAACCATGTGTAGATTTTGAGAAGAAGAAAGGACTTATTGTATTTTTGTGTATTTCTTACTTTCCTAAGTAAATGTATTTATATACTAGGTCCTATGACTATTTTAGGAAGGAAAATAAATTACAATCAATCAGAATAAAATCAAATCTCACTCCCCCTCAAGTTGATGCAAAGATGTCACACATGCCCAACTTGCAAACCAGTGTATGAAAAGTCTGTTTGTTGAGACCCTTGGTAAACACATCATCAAACTATTTTTTTCGATGGCACATGAAACAAACTCAAGACACGAGTTGTAATTTTTTCTTTGATTAAGTGTCGATCAATTTTCACATGCTTATTCGGTCATGCTGGACTGAATTATGAGCTATACTGATGGTAGCCTTATTGTCACAGTACAAGGAGAGTTTTTCTTTTTCAGACAGTCTCAAGCCCTCTAGTAGTTGTTGTAGTCAAAAAGGTTCGCAAACACCCTGGGCCATAGCTCTTTATTTTACATCCGCACTTGATCTAGCAACTACACTTAGCTTCTTACATCTTCAAGTAACCAAGTTTCCTCGTACGAACGTACAGTAAACGGATGTAGATCTTTTGTCATCCAGAGATCCAACCCTTGGAGCAGACTTCAGATATCGCAAAATGTGAAAGACAACTTGCATATGAGGATCTCTGGGATCATGCATGAACTTACTCACACTACAAGAAATCTACCTTATTGTGGCGACCAATGTCGCAACAAAAGCCCCAAAAGTCGCTATTGGTGCAAAGATGTCACGCATGCCCAACTTGCAAACCAGTGTATGAAAAGTCTGTTTGTTGAGACCCTTAGTAAACACAACATCAAACTATTTTTTCGATGGCACATGAAACAAACTCAAGACACCAGTTGTAATTTTTTCTTTGATTAAGTATTGATCAATTTTCACATGCTTTATTTGGTCATGCTGGACTGAATTATGAGCTATACTGATGGTAGCCCTATTGTCACAGTACAAGGAAAGTTTTCCTTTTTCAGACAGTCTCAATCCCTCTAGTAGCTGTTGTAGCCAAAAAAGTTCGCAAACACCCTGGGCCATAGCTCTATATTCTACATCCGCACTTGATCTAGCAACTACACTTTGCTTCTTGCTTCTTCAAGTAACCAAGTTTCCTCGTACGAGCGTACAGTAACCGGATGTAGATTTTCTGTCATCTAGAGATCCAACCCTTGGAGCAGACTTCAGATATTGCAAAATATGAAAGACAACTTGCATATGAGGATCTCTGGGATCATGCATGAACTGACTCACACTACAAGAAATCTACCTTATTGTGGCGACCAATGTCGCCACAAAAGCCCCAAAAGTCGCTATTGGTGCAAAGATGTCACACATGCCCAACTTGCAAACCAGCGTATGAAAAGTCTGTTTGTTGAGACCCTTGATAAACACATCATCAAACTATTTTTTCGATGGCACATGAAACAAACTCAAGACACCAGTTATAATTTTTTCTTTGATTAAGTATTGATCAATTTTCACATGCTTTATTCGGTCATGCTGGACTGAATTATGAGCTATACTGATGGTAGCCTTATTGTCACAGTACAAGGAATGTTTTCCTTTTTCAGACAGTCTCAATCCCTCTAGTAGTTGTTGTAGCCAAAAAAGTTCGCAAACACCTTGGGCCATAGCTCTATATTCTACATCCGCACTTGATCTAGCAACTACACTTTGCTTCTTGCTTCTTCAAGTAACCAAGTTTCCTCCTATGAGTGTACAGTAATCAGATGTAGATCTTCTGTCATCCAGAGATCCAACCCTTGGAGCAGACTTCAGATATCGCAAAATGTGAAAGACAACTTGCATATGAGGATCTCTGGGATCATGCATGAACTGACTCACACTACAAGAAATCTACCTTATTGTGGCGACCAATGTCGCAACAAAAGCCCCAAAAGTCGCTATTGGTGCAAAGATGTCACGCATGCCCAACTTGCAAACCAGTGTATGAAAAGTCTGTTTGTTGAGACCCTTAGTAAACACAACATCAAACTATTTTTTCGATGGCACATGAAACAAACTCAAGACACCAGTTGTAATTTTTTCTTTGATTAAGTATTGATCAATTTTCACATGCTTTATTTGGTCATGCTGGACTGAATTATGAGCTATACTGATGGTAGCCCTATTGTCACAGTACAAGGAAAGTTTTCCTTTTTCAGACAGTCTCAATCCCTCTAGTAGCTGTTGTAGCCAAAAAAGTTCGCAAACACCCTGGGCCATAGCTCTATATTCTACATCCGCACTTGATCTAGCAACTACACTTTGCTTCTTGCTTCTTCAAGTAACCAAGTTTCCTCGTACGAGCGTACAGTAACCGGATGTAGATTTTCTGTCATCTAGAGATCCAACCCTTGGAGCAGACTTCAGATATTGCAAAATATGAAAGACAACTTGCATATGAGGATCTCTGGGATCATGCATGAACTGACTCACACTACAAGAAATCTACCTTATTGTGGCGACCAATGTCGCCACAAAAGCCCCAAAAGTCGCTATTGGTGCAAAGATGTCACACATGCCCAACTTGCAAACCAGCGTATGAAAAGTCTGTTTGTTGAGACCCTTGATAAACACATCATCAAACTATTTTTTCGATGGCACATGAAACAAACTCAAGACACCAGTTATAATTTTTTCTTTGATTAAGTATTGATCAATTTTCACATGCTTTATTCGGTCATGCTGGACTGAATTATGAGCTATACTGATGGTAGCCTTATTGTCACAGTACAAGGAATGTTTTCCTTTTTCAGACAGTCTCAATCCCTCTAGTAGTTGTTGTAGCCAAAAAAGTTCGCAAACACCTTGGGCCATAGCTCTATATTCTACATCCGCACTTGATCTAGCAACTACACTTTGCTTCTTGCTTCTTCAAGTAACCAAGTTTCCTCCTATGAGTGTACAGTAATCAGATGTAGATCTTCTGTCATCCAGAGATCCAACCCTTGGAGCAGACTTCAGATATCGCAAAATGTGAAAGACAACTTGCATATGAGGATCTCTGGGATCATGCATGAACTGACTCACACTACAAGAAATCTACCTTATTGTGGCGACCAATGTCGCCACAAAAGCCCCAAAAGTCACCACTATAAACATATAGCAGCTACCTTGGACTCGCTGCATGTACTCCCGTTACTGAAGGTTATTAGTGACGACTTTTTATAGTCGCCACGAAAAGCAACAATTTGTGGCAACTAAATTCGCCACAATAAGCAAGCAAATACTCTTTGAAAATGGCATTTAGTGACAACTTTAGTCGCTACAAAACCATGGTATATTCAGCAGCAAGTCTCCGTCGCTACAATAGCTTGATGATTAGTGACGACTTTAGTCGCCACAAATAGGTTTTTCTTGAAAAAAAAATTATGATGCTGCTATATTTTTACAAATATTGCCCAAATGTATTAGAATAATCCATAACGTTAGAAGAGACAGCGATAAAGACATTTCTCAAACAAAGTTATATCGGAACTTTTTATTAACAAATTCAAAACATATTGTAGTTGTACATATACATGAAATGCACAAAAGAACAAAGATAAATATAATGTTTTGGAGCTCCTCCTCGGCTAGCACCATTCCTCCTCCCCTAAAGAACATGATTTTGGAATTCAACTAACAAACTTCATGTCCTAGATGCAGCCAAAGGTGGGAGAGAAAAAGCCTGACCAAAATCAAGAAAGGATAATATTGGCAGCTCCCATTGTTCCGCTCCTTGGTACTGCCCATAAAAAGGTGCATCATTATCCTTTGCGCGCACTATGGATAGATTAGTTACTACCTACAAAGAAAATTCAAGGAGATTTATTAGACAACACATTCAGATACCATTAATATGGAATGATGCAACCATGTGAATATGTTTTATTAAAAGGTCACAACCAGAATGATGACTAAAATTACTCTTTCATTTGTAAGTCCCCAAACTTTAAACCAATCAACTGATAATAAACTTATACAAGAAGAAACACATGAGAATCATCAGTTGCAGAAGAAATGCAGCTACAAAATTAGCAAATCAACCCACAAAGTAGCCACGCCAAAGGGGTAAAGTTCAAACATAGCTTACTTTCCCTTGGTTTTACCTATTTGTAGCCACCAATTCACTGAGCTCCCCGAAAAAATATAATGGAACTACTAACCTACAGCCATTTTAGACATGACTAACAAAGTAGTGTATAATGCACAAGATTGTAACTAACGGACCAACTATAAATGCATAAGTTGAACAGGCATGTAATAGTATTAATATGAAACTAGAACACTTGACTGCCACTATTCTAGAATAAGCTTAACACTAATATTTAAGACACTTGGATCTTACCATAACTCATTAACCACAATACACCTACCAAAGTTATTGTACCTTAAAGTTGCTAATAAGCTGAAATATCAATCTCTTCAGCAACAAACTTCGAATGCAAAATTTGCTCCAAGTCATAAATGCTTTCGACTTAATCACATACCAACACAACTTTTAATAACCAACTTTTACATTCTTATGGAACATCTCTTCTTATGATAAAATATGCACACTTCAGTGATACACCTAATACAAAGGTGATTAATAAGAATATAAACTTGTAAAAAGTTCATCAGGTGGTTTCCATAAGGAGGCTACTAAAAGATTAAACATGAGAAGACATTGTATCAGAATTTCTAATGCAGTTCATTTACAAGTACAAATCTCCAAAAATAACATGTTTATAATATTAGGAAGGTAAAAATAACCTGTTCGGAGTATTGGAATAACAAACAAATAAATAGAAGTTGGTGACAATAAGAGCAGTTAGTTTCAATTTGGCCAATTACCTAGCGATCAATCTGATTAGATGGGCATCCCAAATGCATAATATCAACTATCCAAATATATGTGAATCACATATTCTCTTTTCTCTGAAAAATCACAAGATGGAAAAAATCCTTAAGTCTATTTTTCTTTCTAATCTTAAATAGGCTAACATCAACGGAACAAATGAAGCGAATTAATACAAATTCTCACTCAAAGACCTAATTTCTAGGCTATCATAACCAATAACTAAGGGAAATGGGAATTGAATCTTTCCAAAATTACTGAAAACTTACCACTCCAAAGCACCGAGCACTAAGCAGTATTCAAGCATAAAAGCCCTAAAATTGCAAAAATATAATCAAACCCAGTAGTTTCAAAGCTTAAGAGAACAAAGATAACATAAAAAAAATAGTTAAAAATCCACATAATTAGTCCTTAATTTTACACTTCTAGAGAAAGGAAACAACACTAAATAACCAAAAATACCTAAAGATCGTGCTAACCATGAGCCTTGCGCTGCACAAACACACCAGTCGCAATCATGTATAATCACTTATTCCGAATATGATGATAATTCGTAAACCATCACAATAGAGAAAAAGAGATTAGGTTTTCTCGCCTTGTGAAAACAGAGAGCACAAAATCTAGAGAGAGGAAGAAATGAGGAAGGAAGTCAGTGGTCGATTCGCCAGATAAAGAGACAAGAAGGAGCATGTTCACCACCGATGGTGTGTGGTCCTCTTCAGTGACTTAATATGGTAGATTTAGTGGCGACACTAAGAGTCACCACAAAAGCCCTTGTGTTCGGTGGCGTTCACCGTGCTTGCGAAGAGATACATTATATTTTGCTGCGACGCATTCTTAGTCGCCACTAATACTATGCTTCCAGCTGCGATAATAGTTGTAGCCACTAAACATTTATCTTTTGTGGCGATAGCATCAGTCAGATTTCTTGTAGTGTCACCAAGCTAATTGAATAGGTTATGTCTGGTCTAGTGTAAGAGATAAATGAGTCTTTCAACCTATCTTTAATTTCTCTCCTTGTCAACTGACTCTCTAACTCCGCTTTGTAACTTGTGATTGCTTTCAACGGGCGATTTTGCGGGTCTGCAACCTATCATACCAGTTTTTTTCAAGAGATCCAGAATATACTTCCTCTGAGAAATAAAGACTGTTCTTTTTGGTCTAGCAACCTCAATACCTAAGAAGTACTGCTAGTTTCCTAGATACTTGATCTCAATTTCATATGCCAACAATTTCTTTAATCGGGCCATCTCCTGTTATTAATATGTCATCAGCATAAACTAGGAAAAGAGTGAATTTACCCCTATAATGTCTTATGAAGAGGGTGTGATCAATATTGCTTTGTTGGTAACCAAAAGAGGTTAGTGCTTTGCAGAATCTGTCAAACCAAACTCTAGGGATTGCTTCAGTCAGTACAAGTCTTACTTCAATATGCATACATTTCCTTGACTTTGGTGCAGTATCAAATCTCGAAGGAATCTCTATATACACCTCTTCTTCTAAGTCTCCATGAATAAATACATTCTTCACATCAAACTGTTACAAGTCACAATCAAGATTAGGTGCATAAGACAAAAAAATTCTAATAGTGTTCATCATAGCAACATGGGCAAATGTCTCTTGATAATCCACTTTATAAGTCTGAGTGTAACGACCTGACCGGTCATTTTGAGCTCTAGCATATCGTTCGGCAGTTTGAGGCCTTGATTAGTTTTACTTCATGTATTATGACTTATGTGTGTAGTCGGAATTAAATTTTGGAAGTTCAGAGTTGATTCAGACAGAAAATTCTAATTTCGGAAGCTTTAAGTTACTTTAAAACTAACAAATTAAAGTTCAATTGAACATAACAATCCAAAACAAGTGAAAACTAATTACAACAAAGTTCAAAATTGTTCAATCTAATTCAAAATTGGTTCTATTAGTCTAGTTTAAAGTATTTAAAAGTATTGGTCAAGGGGTGTTTTGTACAACATCATCATCACCGTCTGATGAACTTTCATCTACAAGACGGTATAAACAACGGTCTTGTGGAGGATGGGAAGAACTATCACGGTGAGGACAGGAGAAATGATCACAAGGAGGACAGGAGGAACGATCACGTGGAGGTCGAGCCTCTGGCGATGACTCACGAGACCGGGGCAACAGAAAAGCTCCAGTAGATAAGAGAGTTCTGATCTAAGCTTGCATACCAAGGAATTGAGCATCTCTAAGCCTTTCTCTTTCCTTGGACACTTCTAGCTTGGCTGTAAGCTTTGTCACTATCTCCCGCATAGCCGAGAGGCTCTCCCTATTAAGTTCCTCGCCTTGCGAGGAAGTCCTTATTCCTTGAATCCCACACCTATAGCGATGGAATTTTTTCTTAGGAAGCCCGTATATCTTCCCCCCATTTTGGACCGCCAACAGCTTCCAACCATATTCTTTCAGCATCCTCATCCGAAGGTTGGCTTGGATCGCCCGATTCATCAAATGGATGACTACAAATGAATTCCTTCCCGTTACTTTTGTAGCGATCCTACATTATTTTAAATTAAATTAGTATTTAAAAATTCTTATAAAAGTAAATTATAACACTTAAAGAAAATTGAAAGCTTACATATGCAGTCTCTGCCCGGTCCTCGACCCACCTATCTCCATCCTCCTCTTTCTTCTTCTTTACAATATACGTCTCCTTGAATAGCTCATCATGGCTCATTGGACGTCCATACTTCTTTTCCTGAAAACAAATTAATTTAGTTAATAAATAGAATTGATATACTTAGAAAATTAAAATAATTTAATCAATTACCAATACTCTTTTTATTGTTCCCAGGCTGATCAACCTCCAGTGTGCAAGGAGCCTCCCTTCTCGGATGCGCGAGCTTTCTTTCCTTTTTCGCTCCTCTCTAAGAAATCCTCGGTCTGCCATTGCCTTAAAAAATCATTCCATTAAATCCTCAAGACACCATCCAGGCCTCTTGTTCTTCTTTCTAGCATCCGAGAAATTATCTGCCAATCTCGTGCGAGCTTTTTGATGAAAATTTGCAGCTACTTCTGCGCTATAGTGGTCTTCCCATACACACTTGCTCTACATTTCAAAAGTTAAATATTATATGGAAACATCATAAACATAAATCATCAAACTGCTTAAAAGAACATTTATACCTTAAATTGATTGAAAATTTGCTCATTCAGCGAGAATGAAAAATCAGTCCAAGTCGCATAAAGGCCATCATAAAGCTTTCTGATGGCATTGGTGATTATCTTCATAGTCTGATTACCCGTCCTGAACCTACAATTTAACAATAAAAATACATGAATATCAAGTAAAAACATTACAAAACAATAGATGCAAAATAACAAATAACTCTTACCCATCACCCTCAGGGACTATGATGATCCTTCCATAGCGATTATAATGCACTACCTCTGGATCATTATCCTCAGCATGTGTATTAGAGGCATGTGTAGACGGTGTAGGGGGCTCAGAGCTACTGCCTCGCAGGTGAAGGCTGGAAATAGATAGAGTTGATGATGAATATGGTTGCGATCCCTGTGACTGCGACATAGCTGGATGCGATCCAAGTGGCTGTGATACTGATGGCTTTGACCCGAGCGGCTTGACCCGACTGGATGTGGCATGGATGGATGCGATCCATGTGGTTGTGATATGTAGGGATGTGATCTACATGGATGTGATGCAGATGGCTGCGATCCACGTGGATGTGAGTCAGTTGGACTGTATGTCGGACGTATAGTCCTATGGCCCTGTGATGGAAGACCTGGTGTCTGGATGAAGGTGTAGGGGTCGTGATGCCGTGGCAGCTCAGTATAGCCGTGTGGTGGAGGATAAGACATAGGCATCTCTGAAGAGGGTGGAAAAGAGGGAGTATTATTATCTACACTCCTTTTTCCCTTCCTCACCTTTTCTCGACCTCGAGAACTAGTAGGGTCATTGTTACCTTGACCCTTGCCTTCCATTTGCATAATATAATACATATTTAGATTGAAACATATAAGAAACTAGCTATAAAACGAGAGTACTTTAAAAAGCCAACTTTTTAATCCTCGTCGACGTATTGTTCCTCGTCCGAGAATTCTTCGTCGTCACTTGTTTGAATTTCATCAGTTGATTCTTCGTCCTCATTTTCTATAATTGTTACTTCATTTATATCAACTTCTTCCAATATGCGTTCAGGATGGTCCAAATCATTTTTTAACTGATCGTCCACTATTTGGTGAACACTGGATATATCATTTTGATATGCAACATCTAACACATTCTTGACTTCCACCCTACCTACAGGTTTAGTTTTTATTATAACCCACCAATCGGACTTATTCCGCCGCAATGGATAAGGAGCATAATACACTTGCCTAACGTTATGTGCAATTATGAAAGGATCATAGCGATCATACTCCCTCGTATGATTAACCTCAATTATGTTGTATTGGTTGTGTNGTTATGTTATATTGGTGGTGTACTCTTGTACCTATTGTTGGATTTGGGTCAGACCACTTGCATCTAAAGAGTATCAATTTCTTATATGGTCAAACTGTATATTCTAGTTGTAATATTTATTTGACCACACCATAATAATCAATATCTCCAACTCGGTTGCCATCACCACCTTGAACCCACACCCCCGTTGTTGTTGCTATTTTTATTTTTAGAGCAATCCTCTGTATGAAACTTATAACCATTCA